TTTTAAAAAAATGTCTTTGAATAACATACACACATTTAGTCCATCTCAAAATAAGAGCCATGGTACTTATTTTAGACTTCAAAGGTACTAGAGAAAAGGCCTATGAATGCTTAAGAGCTGAAATACTTAATTACAAACACACACACACACACACACACACACACACAAACTTAAAAAAAATGTAAAATGGGGATCACTGCTCTGAGTGTCTGATGGAAATGGTAAATACATACGTAACATACTCACTGATTTTTTTTTTTAATCAGCTGGGAATCTTGCTCATTCCAAGTATGTATTTCCATTTTTTTAAAACATGCCACTGGCACACAGAGGGCTTGGCCAAGAGCACTGAATTGACCAGCTGCTAACAAAGCTGGCCTGAGGTTCAAATCCCAATCAAAGCACCAATCATAAAGAGGAAAAGCAAGCATGAGAGGGAGAGGGAAGATCATAGAAAAGGAAGCATCACAGGAAGAAAATGGACCCAGAAAACCATCCTGCTTTTCAAATTGTTCTTCTGCACCCCACCAGTTCATTAAAAGAACTTCAAAACTTTCTTAACCTGTGCTGTGAACATCTTTAGTCTTTTAACCCCCCCGCCGCAAAAAAACCCCATCTCCAGTAAACAAATTTTCAGCCACAACAACAGGTTAGAAATACTGAAGTTGTAATTACATAATCAGCCTGATAAAAATTCTTATAGACAGAACGCAAAGCTTTCATACAGTGCTAGAAAGAGGACAGATCAGCCATGCTCGAGCCCGCATTTCTCCCCACCTCAGGCAGCGTGTTGTTAGCATTATCTAGAGAGGCAACTTCCAAACTTGGGGTCTCAGATCTGATTTGAAGCACCTCTTCCATTCCAACACTGCTAGTGGAATCTTGAGATTGCAGCAACAAGTTGATGTGATCTGGTATGGCATCATCGGCAGTTGAATCACTGTTTAGCTAGAGACAAAAAGGCACCCATTCATGTTTTGCAAAATAAAGTCAACATGTGTTCATGCATAAATGTAAAGCAGAATGCAGGCACGAGGCTACCCTTTCTATTCATTAGACTGTATCCTGAGTCCATCTGCCATGCTCAGGTTTTGGTTTAGGTTTAATCGATTTATATGCTTAAAAATATTAACAACAGGACTTCTCATAAGGGCAAAAATAATACAATAATATTGATGAAGAACACGCATTCATCAGAAACACTGTTTTAGCATAACTAATTTTACTCAACATATATGAACGGATGTCTCTGCTGTCCCAAATACTGAACTAATTAGGTTAATTAACTATTTTTTTCACTGCAGGATTTGATTCCAAAAATGCAAATAATGTATTATCAGTACATTATTTACACCCAGAATAATTTCTAAATACTTTACAGGTATTTGTAAATCAAATTGCCCATCAGAAACAGCCAACTAATTCTCCTTTATTAATTTAGTTTAACTAATCCTAACTCTAATCAAACTTCTGATTTAAAATGTTATTACTAATCAAATTAAATGCTATAGTATTACGCTTAAAACCTTTAAGCTCTATTTCTTAAAGTTCGGGTAGATGTAAATTTTCTGTCCAGTTACAAAGATGACAGAAGTTTACTTTGAAATACAAAAACATCTTTCAAAGACATACTGGCACATTAGCTTCATACTGACATGTATATTCAAAAACCTCCTTAGTTATGCTTTATTGATAAAACCTATTCCAAATCGCATTCTTCTCTGTCTTATTTTACTAGAAGCAAGCCTACTTAGGACAAGTGTCATTCACAGTTGAAGCCAACATTTCATTGGGCAACTCATAAAGCTGCCCACCCTTCCTGCAAATGAGAACCCAAGAGGCAGCCTTGAAGGTTAAATCTCAGGGCTGCTGTTGTGATGCAAAAACCATCTGTGTGTTTTACCATTTGGGAGTGTGACAGTATCTGACTTGCGCTCAGGCCTTCTTCTTCTGAGGACTCATCCGTATCTTCTGGGTTGGTCAGGTTCAAGCTGGGAGTGCTACCTGAATACTGATACTCCTGGAGAGACGGTGTGTCCCCTTTCTCAATACTGTCCAGTGAACGTCTACGGACACCCCAGTTGAAGTTGTCCATACTCTCTCCCTGTAATGAGAAGGAAGTTTATCCCAACGTGTTTAAGCCACCACAAGTGCTGAAATGAACACAGCAAAACAAAGCCACACATACTGAATTCACTGAGAGCAGAGTTTCAATCAGCCTTTCAGGTTGATTGCATGTTTATGTTTTATTAACATGGCTTTCTCTTCAAAGCATTTAAATGTATGGCAACATAATTTTTCTCAATATTTTTCTTTCACAGAGTCGCCTTCAGAACTAAAATGGGCTTAAAAATGGTCAACAACCATATATCCTTTGCAGTTACCAAGATTATCTGACTTTCAAGCACAGACAGACAAATACACTACAGATGACAACAGATGAAACAAGCCACTGCACCAGGCTGCAACTTACCTGCAGCTCCTGGTTCGCAAAAAGAAAAACACACATAATTAGAACGAGGACAAACACTTAAAGATACTTTTTAATGGAGGCTATTTTATATTGCATAAGCTTGCCGGCAGTAGAAGACTGATTCAAGCTCTGGAAATACTTTGTTTTGGTCAAGCCCCCTTATTATTTAATTGGTTTTAGAAAAATTGGTGCAAAACATTATGAGACAAACACTTAAAACAGATGGCTATGGCACATTTTTCAGTGTTAACATATATTAAAACTTAATTTTGAGAACGGCTTGAAAGTAACTGCGGTGAAAATTCAAAATGGACTTTATCTACATTTGTTTGATTAAACGTACAATATGTAAATTTTATTCAGTGCAAGAAAGCATAAACATTTGAGCTAATTTCGGTTTTGATAAGCATGTTTGGCTGTTACAGTTTTCATTCCTCTTTGGGTAACTTTCCCAGATGCTTAGAATTTAAATTCGCTATTGATTCATTTACAGGTACTTTATGGTCACAGAAGCAATCCTAATTTGTACTAACCCAAAGTCACCCAGAATGAGATCACTGGCTAGGGAGGGGAGGGGGTCTTAAACATGGTTTCACCATTTCCCGAACACCTATAATACCCCACTGCCTTTGCCCCGCTCTTTTCTGAGCCAATGAAGCATAAGGGAAATGCTTCAGAGAAATGCTAAGCAGTTGGAAGTGTTGTGATGATTTTGAGATCAAAATGTTGACTGGATCACAGTTCTGGCAGTCATTTGGATTACTGGAGATGGGCGAGAAGACAATCTATTTCTTGGTAGAAAGAAGAACTTGAGAATTGCTAAAATTCCTCATCTACAGGAGTTTTATTTCCAGAGGTATAAAAAATTTATGTGACTACCCCTTCCACCTCCATAGGGATGGTGTCATTTGTAGGACAGTTCAGCTTTCCCCAATATCCACCCTTTGTTATTTCCATGCACTGCAATGGTATATTACAAATGACAATTATTACATTTTACTATTTAAAAACAGAGAAAAATGCAGATAAAGATGATAAATGCACCATGAACCCAGACACAATATGAATGGCTGAAAATCAAATCAATTTCAACACACTCCTCATGTGCATTATACATTGTGCAGTATTTACCGAGGTTTTGATGATACCCGTACGCTATTCTTCAAGTTTGGTATAGTTTCATTTGGCTTTCTAATCTCAATTATACATTGATGCACCCTTTAGTTCACCATTAAGCAGGAAATTTGCAAAATGTCAGTTGCTGTTCACATTTTTACGCATCAGATTAGATCAAAGTAAAAAGCAAAGGGAGCAGCTAGTATGAACGAAAGAGCTCCTGATATGCCAAACAGCGAATATCAAATTATAGATCCAATGTTGGGGGTTTTTTTCCAAGCAGGAAGTTTAAGAAATGGCATGCATTGATTTTTTTTAGTGCTTTGATTAACTACAGCACACGCTTACAGCAAAAGGAAAGGACAGGATCTCAAAGTTGTTACTTTTTCTTGAAGAATAGGCTTGAATGAAGCTACCGTTATACAGTCTTACCTCTGCATCTTCCAACTCAACATCTAAAAAGTCAAAATCTTTAAAAACTCCAAACTGCTGTTCACTTGTGTTATCTTCTACAACCACTTCTTCTTCTTGAATGATTTCCTCTGTGGCTGAAATAAGACTCGTTTGCTGGTCCCCAGCTTCTAAGTCTTCATTAGAAGAAAAGATAACCTACAAGTGTCATCAGTAACAGAGGTAATAAGCGTGAGTAAAATTGGAGTACCAATATGGATTTTTACAGACGTTGCATCTTAGAGGACAGGAGCTGATGGAATTATATTTAAATGGCATTAATCACTAGCAAGACATTCTGTTATGATGTAAAAGCTTGCTAGTTCTTAAACTATCATGACAGCGATATAACAACTCAACAACTTAGTATAAAACTTTCTTTAATTGATGGACACATGCTTCTTTCAGGAATTTAAAACTACTCACAGAAGGGTTCTTGGGAATTCCTGATTCTGGACCACAAAGAGATAATACATTCATTAGTTTCTCCCTTGTTCGTCGCTGGAAAAGAAATCAAAGTAGTTATAAATATTTAAACGATTCTTTCTTTTGCTGTGTGCCAAGAGATGCTTTCTGCATTTAAGATGTATGCAATGGATCACCTGAGATAACTGTGGCCTCTTCCAGCTCACAGGAACCAAAGCATTAGAATTCGATCCGGAGGAAGTGGAAGATGTACTTCTTGTAACAGCAATGACTTTAGCTTTGCCATTCCTACCCGTTGCACTGTGCTGATCACCATATTTGTTCCCAATAATTGGGGTCTATAAAATGAAGAAAAAGTAGTTTTTCAGGTCAACATATTGTCCCATTTCACAAAGGTCTGTAAGACAGAGTTTGTTTACCATGCTGCGTGTACTGCGTGCAACAACCAGCAAGGCCCATATAACATGCAAAGCCACAAACTATGATCTATAAATCATCATATCCAGGCTTGTATGACATATTAATGTGATAACTATTTGCAGTTGTGAAGGAAGTTTGGGGTTGTTTTTTTTTTGTCTTTTCCAGGGTGAGAACATTCCTTTTCATTCCTTCCACCAATCTTCTCATGCATAGTAATGCATAGCATTACTAGCTATCCAGGGTCACATGCAGTCTGTGAGCCACAGGTTAGACATGCCTGACTTAGAAGAAAATTAAGCATGCAAAATCTTAAACCTTACTTAAAAACTCTTTACCTCTGATATGTCAAAATGAAAATCTAAGGTCTTCCCAGGCAGTTCTTTGGACACATTGTTAAAAATTTTTGTAAATGAAATTTCAGGCGAGTTTATGTCACCACCATAAGATTTTGGAATATCATTTGGTACAACAAGACTGGCTGAACGCGATACCACCAATTTCAAAATATTAAGCGCTTCCTTCCAGTAGGGACTCTATTAATAAAGACAGGAGGAAAAAAGACATGTATACGCCAATTAATCCAAATAATAACTTAAAAATACAAAAACCTACGACAGCTGAAGTATTAAAGTAAAGCTCTTACATTTCTATGAACAAGTCAACAAATATGATTTTTAAATTTTAACATAAATACAGTTTAAATCCTTGAAGAAAAACTTGTTTCACAGAATATAAGAAGATGAAGTGTCTCTCTTTTTGTTGTTAAATAGGTGCATCTCTTTTCCGTGACCCGTCAAAACCGCGGTCCACAAAAGCGCGATCGACGAAAGTGCGCATTTGACATCATCACAGCGCGACGAAAAAAATTAAAAATT